ATCCAGTATATCACATTTCTATCAAAGAGTCAGGAACATCTGAAATATTAAACAATATAATACATGTTCTGTTCTGCATACAAATGTATGTATACAATCTTTAACAAACTAGCAGTGTTTCGTGAAGATACCCTCCCGATTGTGAGGCAGGGAATGCTACATGATCAGTTTGTTAGCACATTAACGCCCAGATAAGATTAGAAATTGGATCTGGATCAGTTAGCAATCCAGTGAGTAACACCACCATGAATACTACATGCAATTTTTGCAGAACTTAGACAAAAGGCAGGATCACGTTGTTAACTGACTCAGTTATCAGTTAGCAGGCTGCACCATATTTAAAGCAAGTGATGCTTACTATGATAGTGTAATCAGTGGCCTTAAAATAAATAAATGTCAACTTAAATTATGATTCACTAGGAGGAACTTATGTAAATGAAAAATAGTAAGACTTTACAACTCTAGAACTTCCTGATCTAAATGGCATACAGCTCATCAAAGAATTTTTTTTTTTTAATAAAAGGAAAGAAATATTAGAAACTTTTACTGACCAGCTTTTACTTTTTTAAAGGATGTTCCAGTGGGCATGAGTTATAGCTCTTAGGAAACAATTGCAATTGCTGCAATTTTGCCAGAAAAGTTCTAATTTTATGTCTAACGTCACTTAAAGCTTTACATATAAACTTTAACAATGCATTTTTTCCAACAGAGGCAAAGTTCACATTATAGGCAAAAAGGCATCCAGTTTTAGGTGCTGTTCCAGTGATCTTCTGTGTGAAAATTCTGTTTTATTTTAACAGAGGGAAACACTTTTGTAATGACTCATTTTTCTGAACTACGTAGTGTAATTGTAAACTACCAATTTACTACCTGGCTTCTTAGGAGTGATTATCAGTAGCCAGATATCTTGGGAAATAAAGCTGATACAACTATCAGTAAAGTAAACATTTCCACAAATGATATACTGTGTTGATACAGAAGCAAATACTGCTGTTCATCATTTAGTACATAATACTTTTATCGTGCAGAAATAAGCTTACCCAAAACGAAAGGACTGGTTATCAATGTGAATATTAACCAACTGGGAAATGGGACACAACATATATTATTATATATTAGCCCAGAAAATAACATTAAAACATTTTCCATCCCATGATTTAAGGTTATTTTTCCTTATATGAAGAGTACTTTTTTCTTCTGAACAAAACATGAAAGTCTAATCAAGGGGTGGGAATCCTTGACTCTCACCTGATTTCTACAGCCTACTCTAGATTTCACAGTTAAATTAGCCTACCTGTTTTCGTCAGGGCTGTGACTTTTTTTTTTTAACTCTAGCCAACTTATACATGTTATGTTATACATAACAAAGGCCTTAGCTTTGTTATTTGCTGGTATGGAATGGTTTGGGGAACAGGTTTAGCCTATATTGAAAAAAGAGGTTTCTGGGTTTTTTTCCTCAGTATGAGTTTATCTCTGTTAGAAGGCTTGTTGATATTACTAGTATAGCTACCAGGAAATCTCCATGAATTATAAACAGACTTGACTTTGTAACTTGTTGCAAGAACTAAACAAGATTTGTTTACTTTGTATCCTGAGATCAAATCTTGATCACAAAACATCAGCTTGGATCAAAAGAAAGGTATTACTATCTACATTATCACCAGGTAGTTAAGAATATTTTTTCAACATAAATCTTTATTTTACACATTTTACTTTGTGACTCCCAGGAATTAGCTACTTTAAGCAAGGGAAAATAGTGTAGTGCAAGTTCTTTATATAGTCACTGCCTTCTCTACCCTATCTATTACAAGCTACTGATTGTTATGCTATGCTGCAAGCTTGAGAGAATTTAGCTGTGTTCACCCCTGACGCCCCAATGGCATGGAACATCTCCATCTAAGTACTCAGAAGTTTATACAGATGCTAATATTAAGGAGGCCTGGGGTCTGAAGCCTGTGCCAATGGAAATATTAAATAACCATTATCTCAGTATTTTAAAGCTAGCTGAGATGTATTTTATAAAGTTAATCACTTACTGTGCTTGCTAATATTATTAAAGATATTTTTCATGTGAAAGCACAGGGGCCAAGAAAATAATTTCTTATTGCTCAGTAAGGGGGTGAATAATGAAACAAAGTATTTCATTTAACTTTCCCCTGAGAGAAATACCCTGGTAAAGTGTGCATGATCCTCCAGTAGCCAATGCACTCTGAGGTTAAAAAGCTGCTACTGATTTCACGGCTGCTGTCCCAGCTCAAGTAGAAGAGATTTGTGCTTTTGGTGCTGGTGTTGAGTGAGTGCGCCAGATTTAAGCCTGCTGTTAATGCAAGATGCCTATATATACACAGACTTGTTACATTTGCCCATAGACTATCTTCAACAGAATAGTATTACTCTTATTCTTAGATGCAGAACTTCTCCGTGAACTAACGTGTTTCTCTTTAAAAATAAAACTGGGTATTTGCTATATGGAATCGAAGAATACATGCGCTTACCTGGCTTCTCAGCCTTTAGAGAAAGAGACTAGAGTGTTCTGTGACTAGGAGGAACAGAGGCTAAGGAACTGCTGAGCCAGACAACCAACATGACCGCACCTTCCCAGGAGCTGGAATACGTTGCAAGTGTGGAATCCAGTCCCTAGAGAACTAGGACTTTTCACCGCAGTTCATATAAAACATATAGGACTTCTTGTGGAAACAAGTAAATAAAAAACCTTTCCAGCTACTACATGGAGTAAAAATATTTTGCTAATTGAGCATAAAAATGAGAAATCACTTTGCCCAGATTTCATATAAAAACAAGTAAGTCACCTTATTTTTTTAAAAAGCATATTTTAAATCTGGCAGTTTTTCTACTGGAGTACTGTACATGATGTTTTAAAGAGCTTCTAACCAGAAGAGTCACTGTTACAGAGCTAAAATTTACACTGTGTTTACATGCATACTGTTAACCATCTAGATTGGACACAGATAAAAACTAAGATGCTGATCCTTATTTTGACAAACAAGACAGGTCTACGCTTCAACCCGCTTGATGTATAATAAATAAAATTTCAGTATTAGAAGAACAAAAATGTTAAAATAGATTTTGAAATAAGGCAATGCAGAATTATCAGTGTAGAGAAAAGCAGGTTCCTGTACCTCCTTTTCTAGAAGAAAGCAAGGTTGGTTAATAAACTAAAGGTAAATAAAATACAGCAGGTGTATTTTAATTCCCATTTCATTTAAAAACAAATGGAGTACAAGGTAACAGATATCCACATGATGCACGTGCTATTTTGCTTGCAAACTTAGGCAGATATAAAATTTCTGAAGCTATGTTTCCTCACTGAATCTACTGGTTCCTAATTAGACCAAATAACTCTGTAAATTTGAGATACGATCAGAAGTCCACAAAAGCCAGTCTCATATTTCATAAAAACTGCTAAACATTTAGGAAATTTAGACACTTCCACATTTTTTTCCATGCTTCATTTAAACTTCCATCAGCAAGACTCTGCTTTTATAAATTACCTACTGACATACTCATAAACTGGCTTGGGAAAAACGTTCAGGTTTTGTTACAATGAATTTAAAGATCTCTCTTACATACACCTCAGAGTCTGGAGCTATGGCATTTCTCCAAAATAGTTCACAGTTCCCACAGTTAATACAGTACTGCAAAATGGCACTAAAGTGCATAAGTATCTGAATGTTTGTTGGGCTAAAAGGTGCTGTGCAAGCTTAAGCTACTGCTTTGCCATTATATACAAGATCATTTTTCTTTGGGGAGGGGGTACTAGTTCTGGAATGCCACTGATTTTCATTTTAATGGAGGATTGTCTACCTTTCACCTTTCTAGAAGATGTAAATGCCCCCTTTCTGACTCTTCTGTTTGTCAAGAACAGTAAAAGAGAAAATAGTACACTCTCTAAAAATGTGTTTCAAGATAATTTACCAGAAATGGTATTTAAAAAGAAAAAAAAAAAAAAAAGGAAGAATACATGGTACTCCAGATGAAAAGTGGACATTGGACATGCTCTTTGTAACTAGCTATGGGTCTTCTGCTCAAATGAACATGCTGTTCATGTTTATCAAAACATGAGTACTAAACTACCATAAATAAAATACATACAGTACAGAACAATTAAAACTTTTTTGTACAGTAGTTACTTTTACATTAAACTTACCATCTTTTCAGATATGTTGAAAATTAGGACTCTAAACATGATTATTTCAAAGTATCATTTTTAACATCTTGCACAGGCCCGACAATCAAAAACACGAAGCTTTGATTCAGATAGCTTGGCAGGTTTCACATACTTTGATAGGTAGGCTACTTTGAAATATGTGGGGTGTGTTTTTCACTTACACATTTTATTTTTATCAAAAGACAGTTTGATTATTTTTATTAAAAAGGAAGTACATGGTACTCCAGATGAAAAGTGGACATTGGACATGCTCTTTGTAACTAGCTATGGGTCTTCTGCTCAAATGAACATGCTGTTCATGTTTATCAAAACATGAGTACTAAACTACCATAAATAAAATACATACAGTACAGAACAATTAAAACTTTTTTGTACAGTAGTTACTTTTACATTAAACTTACCATCTTTTCAGATATGTTGAAAATTAGGACTCTAAACATGATTATTTCAAAGTATCATTTTTAACATCTTGCACAGGCCCGACAATCAAAAACACGAAGCTTTGATTCAGATAGCTTGGCAGGTTTCACATACTTTGATAGGTAGGCTACTTTGAAATATGTGGGGTGTGTTTTTCACTTACACATTTTATTTTTATCAAAAGACAGTTTGATTATTTTTATTTAAATCTTTACATGAACTGTTTTTGTGCAATACCACTGCCAGTGTAGCTTGAGAAAACAAAATGTGTCTGGAACGTTGACTGTAGTCCAAGCGTTGTCTACCTCTTAAAAAAGTAAGATTCTAGGAAATCCAATGTGAGTGCATTTTAATAGAGGACGTCAGTCTTCCTGACTGAATAATTTTAATATTAAACAGGTACTGTTTCTACCACTGGTGATTTGATGCACTCTTCGTGCAGTCTGTTCTTTTCTGGGAGGTTTAGTGAATTCTCAGCAGGGTGCTCTTGTACACGACTGTCGCCATTCAAAGCTGAAACAAAGCCATCTTGAGAAGGACCTTTCAAGTATGAGTGAAATTCCACTTGAGGGTGACTTGGCCTGTGCTCAGTGTATAAACTGTTACATGGAGCACTGCTATCACCTTCAGAAGATGAGCAGCAAACAATCACTGAGGGGTTTGCAGAAGGGTAATGAGGGCTGCTAAAAGTTTCTTCTGATTGCCGTGTGTAGTCAACAAACTGTTCCGAAGTCATGTTGTAAGGCACCAGAGAAAGACTACCGTTCTTGACAGCATCCCTTTCTGAATAAGTCTCACCGATCTGGTTAGCAGTGCCAGCAACATGGTTCTCTATTTGGTAATACAGATTTGAAGAGTTAGTATAGTATGAGGCATTTTTAGAGTGGTTTTCATGCACAGCAGTTCCATCAGAGTAGCAAAGGACAGAAGGAAGAGGCACCATATCAGCATGGGAGCCCATGCTTTCTACAAAATCATCTGCTTTTTCTTCCTCCTCATCGTCCTCCTCATCTTCCTCTTCCTCTTCCTCATCATCTGATTCACTAGGGGCTAAACTCTGTGTGCTAGAATCTGTAACTCCACTACAAAAGCTACTCCCATCTTCCTCTTCCTCCTCTTCCCCTGGGCAGTCCAAGTCCTCGGCTGACTGAGAATGCATAACCGCAGCCGGAGGTTCGGTTTCAATCTCAAAATTTTCTGCAATTGAATATTCAACCGGATGGGGTCCTGGACTCATAGAACTAGTGTGTGCACTTATCTCACTGTGGCAGCCATTTAATGCCGGAACTTGCTGCTCTCTATTTTTCTCCAATTCAAGTTTCATTATTGTGTGCAAAAAGTGAGTCCGTACACGGATAGGATTAAATTCAATTCTACCTGCTGTATTGCTACACCCTTCTTTAGTGCAACCGCATGGAAAAGACATACGATCCACCTTTTAAAAAAAAAGAATACAGATTAACAATATGTAGCATAAGCCTGGTGATATGACAGAACCTAGACAGCCTAGAGAAATACAATAGTGAAGTGGGATTCACCTTGAGACGTACTTGTAAGAATAGTCGAAGCTAACAATAATTCAGAGGGTTAGCCCTGGAATTTAGCACTACTGATGGGAACAGTAAGGGACCCATACGTGCACCAATGTTGCACAGTAGGAAAAATATGTTTCTGTTCCATAGGTGAAAGCATTACACATTGGAACAAAAAAAATAGGTAGTTTTTCTATTTATGGATCTGCTACAGCTTTACATCATGTTGTGCTCAAATCCAGGCAAAAGCACTACCAGAAAGAGTCTTAAAATTTGATAAAAATCATGGAAACTAGAAACCTATTGAAACAAAATGAATTCTATATAAAAACCTTTATAAAGATGCCAATGGGGACAACTGACCACAGAAAGTAGGAATAAAAACTCAAGAACATTTTAAAAGATATTCCAGTCAACTGTAGATGCAACATTGTAAGCTCAACAGACTGTGGGCACAACTTACATGTCTAATAATAGCCGTCTTAAATTTCTAAAAACGTGACTGAGTCCACAAGTTCAATTAGATAGCTTAAGGTCTATGATTTTCATCTACACTGTAATACCTAAACATCAGGTACGATGCAGAGGAGAACCATACAACACAATCTAGTACATCTTCCCCACAGGTGAAGATGAAAACAGGAACAGCAAAGGGAATATATTATTTAGAACAGCAGAGAAAGTTTAGCTTGGATTTCAGAAATGATGAAAAACGCATTCAGGAAGAAATCAACTCAGCTGCATAACAGCGACTCAGGAGAATTAGTGGAAACATCTTTTAGGGAACATTTTGGGACATTTACAGCTGTACATAGTGTCCTATGTACATGTCCTATGTAAATGTACAATACGAAATACCTTTCCAGTCTGCAGAGGAAAAACTACCTGCTCTATTAGCAGATATATTTTTTTATTGCCTACATGCAAATTTATCATGCATGCATTTTAAGTATCATGCATGTTAAATTAAGGACGGTACCCCAGAGTTTCATTTATTGTTTCTGAGTTTGGACTATAATTCACATTTGGACAGTATGTGAATTGTCTCTAAAATAAAAGGTAATATCCCTTCTGAAATCTGCAGGCTACTGATTCTTCTGTTGTCTGCATCTGCATATTTAGATAAAGCCCAAAGAGGAATATGAGGAGCAGAATATTTGTAGAACAACAACAACAACAAAACCCTAAACAATGTATGGGCCTAAGCCAATCATAACATAAATAAAGATGTTTAAGGAGATTGTTTATATTGCACACTAGATACTCTTAAATCTGGGCCTTAAAAAACTGGTTTGAGATCCACAAGTGTTATCGTATAATAATTAACTTAATTAATTTCCAGTAGTTCAAAACTTCAACAGCAAAATGTACACGCGTGTGCATGCGCACACACCCCTTCCCCTCCCCTTGATAGTTAAATAACGACAATAATATAGACATTTACCTGACATTTTATGCCTGCAAGACTGCAAGTGCAAGTTTCTGGATCACAGAACACACGGCAGTCACAGCCACAATCCTCCCTGGACAGGCGGATGGCTCGCAGCTCGTGTTTTTCTTCCACATCAATCTTCTTCACTCCAGAAGCTCGCAGCAATGCCCTTCGCTTTTTTGTCGGCAGGGGTTGTAGAAAGAAGTACTCATCTACTTCAGTGTTGTCTAGATCAATATCATCATCAGAAATGTCATCCAGTGTCAGCGTATTAGCTTCTTCAGATTCCACTGTACCATTCTTTGTCATCTGTTGCACAGAACAATTAAGAAAGTCCTTAAACTATACTCACACATATGTATATGTGTCATAGATGTAAATATGTGTAACGCATTACGGATGTGGAAAGCTGTATGTAAAAGTGCTGCGTGACTGCCGGTAAGTTCCAGAACATGATTACAGATGGGGTGAAAAGGCAGTTCTTTCACATTTAACATGTGAATTAAATACACGTTTAGTTTCATGTTTGTCATGAAGCTAATTTTTTTCCTAAATTTCTAATTTCTTATCCGTTCTTTATGTCCTTTACCATTTGTCATTGTTTGCCAGATCTCATGCCTTTCTAAAACTCTAGTCTTTTCTATATTGTTTCGTAAGATAATTTTTGAGCTCTTAATTGAGTCTAGTTCCCGTCTCTGGGCTCTTTGACATTCTTCAATACCCCTTTTGAGATAGTAATTATACTACCAGCACTGTTTCAGATTACGATGCATCACAGATTTGTAAAATGGTGTACTTTATGTGCTATTCGCTACCCTGTTCCTCTTTAGCCTGACAAGTTGTTTGATGTTTGTACAGCTGAGGTCACAAAGCAGTATATCCACTTAATCGTTTGGGCAGATGCCTGTATTTGCTTCTTGAGTTGACAATTTTAAGCCTGGAAGTCACTTAATTTTTGCCCCTTTCTACCTACATTACTTCATGTTTATTTGCAATGTATTTCATAGTGCCGATGCATATAGCTCTTCTGAAGTTCCTTCTAGTCCTCTTCGGTCCTGAAAATAACCCATTTAGCTTTGTGTTGTCATACGTTTTAGTACTTCACTAACCAGTCCAGATTATTCTTAGGTAGTTAACGAATGAATAAACTTAGAAAAAAAGGAAGTAAGTTGTTAACCTCTTGTGGAAGATCTTGAGAAAGGTTTTTAGAGGATTTGTGCTCCTTTCCTAGAGTTATGCATTTTTGAGCCTCTATAGATGCAAGTACCCTGGCACTATATTACCTATGTATAGCCTAGCTCTCAAACCTTTCAAAAATTGTTTCAGAATTAAATGGCCATGAGCATCAAGCACAAACATCCAGTGCCACTTTCATAAGATAGCACGCTTCTGTACCATACTCCTGTAACTCACCTCATATAGAAAGGGATGTATATATTCAAGGAGAAAAGGAGAAAAAAATTACTGCACTGAGGGAAGATTAATTTTCCCATCCATGGTAGAGCTCACTGGTTATATCTGCCAGGTAACACAACTACAGGGTTTATAAAAGTTCTTCTACAGATAAAATTGCTTAAGAATCAAAAGAATAGCAAATGTTAAAAAAAAGTTCAGAGAGATGATGACACTCACTACAAAAAATATATTTTCTCAATCTCAAATTACTCAGATTGAGCATCGTACTACATAGCAAACGTGAAGCAAGTGCAGTTATATGATTTACCTTGTCAAATAGTAAATCCTTTGCTTTGTGTATTGTTCTATGAAATAATTTTGCTTAAAATGGAAAAACAAACAAAAGATTTCCAATGTTCGCCCTGCTCTATGTAATGTTCTCAACTGATGAGGTTGCTGATTTACACTAGCTGAGCACCTGGTCTCACACTTTTGTAAATAAAACATGGTGCAACTATATGATAATTATACACCGGTGAAGTCTCAAGTCTCATTTGCATTAACAGTTTCATCATGGGCATCACCATGACCTCAGACAAATGGCCCCCAGTGAAAGCAATCTGAGTGTTTCTTACCTATGGAAAAATAGCCATTCAAATCCTTTCTCTGTTTTGCCTTATTTACTTGCATAAAACTTCAGCTTGGCCTGTTATCCCAAATAAATTTTTAGACACCAGTTTTACATACAGATAAAATACTGAAGTCGTAACTACCGCTGCCTGTTTCTTGTGCATTTCAATGTTTAGACATTTAACAATTATCATCGTAAAGGTAACTCCCCTTTTTTCTGCTACTAAATCCTGTCATCTCCACCTAGCTATGCTTCTTATGTGCAAGAAAGCAGTCCTGAATCTTACCCAATCCACCATTTCTGCTTTTATTATATTCCCAACTGTTTCGTTTTCCCATTTATATTAACAGTTTGTCCTTTCCACAATCTTTTGGAATGTAACTGTCTTTTATGGCATTATTGAATCACTCGACGGTGAACTCCTACTGACCGCTTACTCTTTTTTCGTAATTGCAGTTTTGTCTTTGTAACAACTGTGTAAGACAATCACAGAAAAAAACCTGATTATTCCTGACTTGTAAAGACAGGTGAAAAGCAATACTCTTTCCTTTGAAGGAGAAAAGTCTCAGTGTCATGACTGGTAGTCCTTACATATAGTGTACGTGTACACATCACGCTGCACAAAGAAAAATCCTCCTGAGATCAGTCATCATCCCTTCTTAGCAATTCAGCACCGTATTTAGTTCATGCAGAGGTGTTCTGCCACTTCCACAACTCCGCTTTAGAGGCATTATTGTTTCCTTCTCTTTTCAATGTATTCTCAATCTTTCTCCGTAATTGCAGCCTTTGGAGTTTAGTGCCTTCATTTTATTTCATGGTTCAGTTTATTTACCATGTCTGTTATCCCTGTAACATTCAATCCCTTTACGTGCATATACTTCCAGCTCTTTCTTCATCTTAAACGCAGGCATTTTCAAAATGTCCTCTCAAATTTCCTTCAGACTGTTTCCTTACTCTATTTTCTATTATTCATTCACTTTACAGTGGCTAGGAAAAGGGGGTAATAGCTCCTTAATCAGTTCTGCCTGGCCCTGAGGCAATGGAGAGATTATTTACACCAGGTATTTCAACGTATTAGTTCAGTAAGGTAGGAAAGACAACATTAGAAGTCATCCTTTTTCTGTATAATCTACGGCGAGAGACAGGTAAATCCAGAGAGTAATTAAATGCATCTTGAATTAGCTGTCTGAAGCTAGTGGGAGGGAATTCTCCACTGTACATGCAACTCAGCCTGAATGTTCAAATCCAGAATGGCATCCTTGATTTTTTTTTGTATTTGTCATTTTTTGTGAGCTAGGTACAACTAAGTACAGTGTATTTATGTTTCTTTGCTTTCTTTTTCTTTTATATAATAGGAGAATGACCTACCTAAGAATTCTGATTTCTCTAGTTTTAAATACACAAGGCTCAAACCACTCCTTAAGCAGATCACCGTTATTTAACTGCCTATCAGAATTTAAGTTTGAAACTGGGGAAGGGGAAGAATTCTAATCCCTGCTTCTGTATTCATTTTAGTAATTTATTCAATTACTATTTAATAAAGTTTCAGGGCTCTTACCCACGAGGTGAATGCTGTAACTGCTCAGCTTACAAAGGCACCTATAGAACCATACCAAACTTGTCATGTATTTCTCCTCCTCCTCCTGCAAATCTTAACTGCTTTGCTACAAAGCGGCAGAGCACTAAGGAATGGACTCCAGTCACGTGCTGAACACTGTATGCATCCAGCAGGCTGTAAATTCAAATGCCTGGGCATCAAGTGGGATTAGACAGCAGTTTGCCATTTCAAAGCACCTTAGCTCCCAACTCCTGTGCTGGATGACTTCCTTGTTGTCTCCTCTGATTTTTTTTCTCAATTTTGTCACACAAAGAACAAATGAATTAATAAAATGAGAGATCTGAACATTTCTCAAACAAGTAATTGGGTAACTACAGAGGGAGGAAGATTATCAAGAACCATCAAATACATTTTCCAATACAGAACTTCAGGGGAACAATAAGTTCTCTATTGTCATAATATTACTCATCTGAATTAAACTTGATATGCAGATGGGTAAAATTTCTCTCATAAAGCTAAAGGTTAATGTCATAACAACAGAACAAGGCAAGGGCCAATGAATATGTGAAGGCTTTGGGTGAAATTCACTTCAACTCTGTAAAACGTGAAAAATTTAGGTTAGACACCTTTGCCCGCCCTAGCTGGAAATGATTCCTTACAATTTCCCACAAAGGAAAACAACTGTGTCCACAGACCCAGGAGCCTTAACATCACTAGGGTCACGCTAATCATTTTAATAGGTCTTAATTTCAGGAGACATTATGAGTAAGCAAGGACTCTTCCAGCTCATTTACTGTGCTTACTCATAATGTTTTCTCAAATGACAACGCATTAAAGTAAAGCCTACCTTGTACCCTTCATCTTGACAAGATGGCTTTTATGTCCAGATTGCCATTAGAATTTTCACACTCTGCTGCTAACAAGTGTTTATGCCACTGTCAGCAGTGTTTACACCAAAGCGCTGGTGCTAAATGGCTAAAGTGACTTGAAGATGAGTTTAAAATCTTCATCTGCGTTTAATTAAGAGAAGTTTCTTATTTGGCTCTTCACTTTCAGTAAGTAAAATAATAAACAGTACCTAATATTGTGGAGACTTAATTCCAACATATTCCTGTATTTCTATTTTTTTTAACAAATTCTACAAGACAGAATGCTTTCTACCTACAGACTTGCATATTTGAATCCAATGCAAAAAATTAAAAAAACAGGGAAACCGAAATGAAAAACCACACCGAAAATGTTACTTTCTGTTTGCATAGTGGTTTTCAAACAGAAAAATCTTTTTGAGCAAACTTTGCCCTACTTCATTTTCTCATTTTCTTCATTTTTCTGCACAGATGTACAGTAATTTAGATGAAAATCCTGATTAGCACATTTTCATTAAAGATTATAATCACTGACATTGTCACCTTAGAAGTCTACAGCGTTTCCTTTTTGTGTTCATTTAGAAACCGTGTGAATGACCAAGCAGCTCTTCCATCCCTATAATGGGAAATCAGCAAGGCCCAGTTGTCTTAAGCAAATAAAACATTCTCACTGCTTTACAGTGACTCATCACTATAATTCAGTGAATCCTGGATTTGCTTTTGGGAGAGAAAGTGTGTGGGGTTTTTTTTTATTTTTTTTACCCCAGTGTATAATCAGGGATGCAACTAAACTGAGCCTAATGGACTAGTTCAAAAAGGAAGTTTTCTGTTCCCTATGTTTTTATATATGCTCTAGAGTGAAGAGAAATATTTTACTCTAGTAAAAGATTTAACACTAGTAAATGTTACCATTTTTAAGCCACTCTCAGGATTCTGAAGACCTAACCACAATTTCTTAATATTCGAATTGAAACTTTGGAGTCAGCTTACTAGTCTCAGAACGTAGTAGTCAACTATTCCCACATCAACTGCTGAGGATCAATGAAGAAAGAATCCCACCACTGCTGAATTAAGTGCAGGGGAAAGGACTTTTCTATTTGGTAAAAGGAAACAATTAAAATGAGGACAGAGGGAGGAATGCAAATCAGGCTTTCATTATTCACTGAATACTTATGAAGAGATTTTGCAGGAACTTAATAGTCACAGTCAAGATTATCATCCGCTCAAACAAGTGACTGGGAAGATGGAAGAACACATAGTATTTGGAAGAGGAGCAGAAAGTAGAGCATGTCCCAAAAAAAGAGTGGACTGGAGTGAAGTAAGCTAATGAAGAAAGGAGATCCATCCCAGCCAAGAGGAGAATTATGAAAGCACAAAGAGCCAAGCTCTACTCCATACAGATGAAGGCTGAAAGGCCTCATCCAATCTTTAGAAGTAAATAGGATCTGTGATTTTTCTTGATTTACTTTCTAGCTGTAAAAAGAAAAGAAAAAGTGAAATATTTGCATGCCTTACTATTCTCTACTCCACTGGGGATTCCTCTCTTTGAGCTGATTCCTGGAAGTCAGCCAAGGGATCTACACAGAGTCATTGGTTACACTGACACAGCTCAATTCACACTTGATGCTCGGAAGATCCTGTGATGCGAGATGTTTAGAGGTATAATCTCTATCTAGCAACAAACCTTTGGTTTCAAACCTGTCCAAATATCCACCTTTAATTTGCCTTTGCCCTGAGTGGTTTTAGGTTTGTTTGTTTTCATTGTGACAGTTCAAATTTTATGAACTATTTAAGAATCTATTTAGCTATTCAAATAAAAAACGATTAGGAGACTGAAAAAAGTAATTACGGTAATAAGGGTCATATACACTTCTTCAGGAGTTCAGACATAGAACTCATGAACGTAGTTCATTCTATGGAAAAAATGCTGAAAGGCATTTCTTAAAACTTGAAGGGTGACAGTTTGCTCTGGACAACTGCAGTAGTATCTGAAACAGAGATACAATATCACGAAAGAAGGTGCTATGGAGCACTGCAGTTCGGTTGCAATTCTAAATATTGTTCACTTTTAATTACAGGATTCATCCGAAAAGGAGCCCAAAATACATATAACACAAGCCATTATACAGGAAGTTTTTCAGCCACTATAAAAATGTAACAAAACCAGAAGTTTTGCCACCAGTTTTAAAGAGGCAGAAGGGATACTTCCAAGAACACAATCCCCTTCTCTGTTCTCCTCTACTCATGTACACAGTTTCTTTCCTCTCCTACGCTATATTTAAAAAGACACCTTCAAAACTGTAGCCAAGATTTGTTCTGGCTAGCTAAACTGATACAGCCAGTTAGTTTGTCTGACACATTTCTTCTTTAACAGACATCCTTTGGCGATATATTAAAGACATACGACCGTAGAAATTGGTACACTGAAAAAACAAAACATTTTTAGTATTACTGTTTCTTACTTTTTGCCAAATTTGCTCAAGTTGGCCAAGAAAATACGCTGTTTCACTTTCTGTACTTAGGATGTTACCATTCCCTTGTCTAATAGGACACTGTGCAAGGGCTTAGAAGACTCATTCTCTTCCTGGCACTTCCAGACTTCTGCTGGACACCCTGTTCAAGGCTAACTTCCACCACCCTCTGCCTTTGTTTTCCTCTCTGTAGAAAACAGAGAGTAAACAACAACCTCCCTGTAAAAGCACTTTGAGGTACACATCAGTAAGAGCTACAGCAGCACTTAGTAATATCGAACAAAAATATGTCTTCAGTAAAATAAATAAATAAAAAAGCGCCATTGTTTCAATTGAAAATGGAATGATAGAAAGGAAATGGTTTTGTTTAAAACACACACATGGAGCCCATATAGCCCTGACACTGCTTATTTAAATAAATAAGGCAGGAATCAAAGTCTTGAATAATTTTTACCTTTAATTTTAGAGAATTGAGTTTTTCTTCCCTTAGATGCTCTCTTAACATCTCTCGGTGAAGCCTCTCCTGTTCCATCGCAAACTCTCCAAGTGTGTATTGGCGCACACTGTTGTGGCGAGTCGACATTCCCAGCGTGCTTCCCCCTTGGCTGGGAACACTGGTGAAGCCTTGCCTTCTCGTGAAGTAATACACAGTAACACAGTTAAAATGGACATTTTTTGTTCTCTTCCGCTTCTCTCTCTTCAGGATTGAAGAAGCTAGAACAGATGCAGATTACAATATGAATGATAACCTGCAGTCATATAGCAAATTCGTCACTTGTGCAGTTCCATTTACCTTAACGATACCTACGTACACACTGAAGTTCAGAGGTGTGCAGTCTAAATGAGGAGATAACATTAGAAATATTTACCGTAAATGCAAACCTAGAAGCCATTACAAACCGCTATAATCATGAACACTATTGTCTACTTTAGAAGAGAAATTCTTGGCCAGGGCAGTTGTATTTTCCCATAGCATTATAAAAATGTTTTATCCTTTTACCAAGGAAGCAAATAAACTGCAGCAAAAGGAACTTCTTTCAACAGTGTCACCTCAAAGACAGTGATCCACTGACTTACTCCTCTTCAAAACCCTGCAAACAAAACAACGTTGTGTACAACAGCGGTGAGGAGAACAGCAGACCCATGTCTCTCTCAGGTCTATATACACCGTTACTATTCTGTCAGCAAGGTTTAGCTGTAGAGATCTATAACTACATCTTTAAAGCATCGGACCACATCGGCAGAAAAGATTCCTATCTCTTACAATCTAAAATGTGAGAAATTAAGTGCTAGAAAAACTATAAAGGCAGTATGTTTAGAGTTTCAGACTGTCTCAGAAATTCATATCATCATCATCATCACAGAATAATATAGAAATAATGCTGATTAACAATCAGAACCACTTCCTTTTTCTTTACCTTCATCCTTCTTTCTGCTGCCATTCACTGAATACATGCACGTGTGTGTATATATATAATAATGTGTAGAATTTTGACAAAAAATTAAACCTAGTCTTTCCTAATTCTGTTCTGATTCCCCTCACACTCGTGCTCAGTTTTTCTTACACACATATGCAGTATCACATGAAATGGATTTGTTTAAAAACAAATACCAAATTTTAACTGTTAAATATTGGTCTTTTTTCTACAGACATTTAGTAACTCCTTCCAACAATACTGATCAATTGTTTCTCACTGGTAACAGTGGTGAGCCTTTAGCGAAAAAAAAAAAGAGACACAAATGTTGGAGAAAGATACGAGACACTCCTTGATTTTTAAGATGAACAGCCTGATTTATTGCGAAATGGCAATAGGATGTTGAGAATGTAGACAATAAGTCACTGCTTTGCAGTTTACAGGCAACAATTGGGCAAGTGTGAATGAGACCCCTAACTGCCAGAATTCAGGCAGTAAAATGATTTAAAAGGGGCCTGACCACTCTTGAAAGACTTAGAACCATTCTATAAAAGCAGAAAGAGCAACATGATGTACACTGCTAATCTAAAATTGCACCATCTCTAGAGATTGGAAGCACTTGGCCTTCAGCCTCGGTTTCGTAACAGGTCTGGTTTATTGTCACAGTTAAAACAGTTCATTCTCTAATACTATTATGTAGTGAAATGTTAATCACCACAAATGTAAAAACCCCAAACTTTTACATGAAGTAATTCAGTTCAAAAAATAGCATGATCTACCTAACTATATGAAAAACAAGTGTATTAGAAAATACAGTTCTGTAACCAAATTACAGACAGAATGCCCTACTGACATAATCATAAAACTATTTGGGGCTCAGTAAAACACTGAAATAGTACTATTTTTCCTAAATACCGGTAAGCAGCTAAAAGTACAGTTTGTTATATAAATAACATGCACTTCTTCAGATATACTGCAGGGATGTTAGATTATAAATATAAAACAGATAAATAAGCTCAGGTCCTACATTCACTTACATGCTCTCAGTGAAGGGTATTCCAAAAAAGCTGTAGGATATACAGAGGAATCAAAAGACACATTCTGTTACATTAGGCATATTTAAACTTACATCCAAGTCTAAGCAAATCTCCTATCATCTGAGCCTGTCAAAAATATTTATAGGAAGCTTTTAGAGGGGGAGGAGGGTTATCTTATTAGAAGACACTAGTTGACAGGGGTTGTCCTGGTTTAATTTTAATTTTCTTCCTAGTAGCTGGTACAGTGCTGTGGTTTGGATTTAGTATGAGAACAATGTTGATAACACACCGATGTTTTAGTTGTTGCTAAGTAGTGCTGACACTAGTCAAGGACTTTTCAGCTTCTCATGCCCTGCCAGC